GTAGAAGTGTTCCCTTTTCACCACACCCTCTCCAGCAGCTGTTATTTTTTGAGTTGTTTGTTTTTAATTTTTTTTTGAAAGTAGAATTTATTGAGAGGACAGAAAATCTTCCATAGCAGGAGGGTGCCGAGAAGGTCGCCAAGTCTACGTTATTAATTGTATTTTTAATTAGTCTACATTCATACTTTTTTCACTTGGTTTATTTTGGACTGAGAGATGCTTTTTCAAGTATCTTATTATTAGTGTGTTCCTAATTTATTTTTCTTTACATTACTTAGAATGTCTGTTCTATGAAAATTGCTGCTATGTGAATTCATGTATAGATATTATATATTGTTGTGAACTGTAGCCTTCAGCATTGCAAATGTCGCTTTTTTGTTTCTTTTAATGCACGTTGGAACAAATTCTACTTCATCTGATATGAAGATCAAGACTTCTGATTTCTTTTGTTTTGCTTTGCCTGGTATTTCTTTGCCTTTTCTTTTATTCTCAGTGTTTAAAATCATTTGTTTTAAGTATATTGCTTTTGTACTGCACAGAATTAAATTTTGCTTTGAGAGTAAATTGAACATCTTTTTCTTTTAATAGGCAAGTCAAGCCCATTTACATTTTGGCATGCTCAATATGTTTGGTCTTAGTTCTGTTATTTTTATGTAATATAAAATGTGTTTATGTGTATGTTAAAAGTATTCTACTTTGTGGTCTGTTTTCTTTGCTTTTTTCAGTTTTTCTTATATTTAGGAAGATTTATAGTTTTGCTGTAGTGATTACCTTTATAATCAATTAAATTTATAAAAGTACCTTTAATACTCTTAGTTCCTTATTTCTTTAGTTTCTCTACTGCGAAAAATAAAATTACCCTGTAACTTCCTCCCTTACTCTTCCCTTTCATTCATTATTCAATTTTAGAGTATTCTCTTAAAAAAAAAAAGTTTATTCCTGTATTTTTAAATATGCTTGAGTGTATTGTGTCAGCTTGGTGTCTTGCTCTAGTCTCTCATTTTGTTGTGAGTTTCATTATTCTTATACTGCCAGAGAATTTAATATTTATACACTATTTTGTTACCTTTTTTGAACATATTAGCTTTAGTTCCCTAGTTAAGTATATTCAATTATCATCATCAGACTATTTGCCAAACTCTCCCTTCCTTCCTCTCCAGTAGTTTCTTGGCTGACTGAAAGTCCTAAAGGAGGGCTCATGGAGCAATACTTGAACCTTTGCATGTTCATAGCTGTTTGCCTATGGCAACAGCTATACCTAAGGCATCATGTATCCTTGACTTATTGTTTTTCTATGAGTGTCTTGTAAGCGTTGCTTTCTTTCTGTTGGTGTATGCTGGTGTCAAGAAGCCTGATGCGAATTTGATTTTCATCCTCTTATAAGTAACTTGTCCTTTTTTTGCTAAAATAACCAAAACTTCAAAACCACATTGAGATACCACCTAACTTCAGTAAGGATGGCCACCATTAGTAAATCAAAAAACAACAGGGTGGGGAGAAAAGAGAATGCTTCTACACTGTCGATAAGAGTGCAAACCAGTTCAATCTCTATGGAAAATAGTATGGCAATTTCTAAAGGGACTAAAAATTGATCTTCCATATGATCCAGCAATCCCCCTTCTGGGAATATACCTGGAGGAACACAAATCATTCTACAAAAAAGACATTCGCACACAATATCAAAAACATGGAACCAACCCTACTGTCCATCAAAAGTAGACCGTATAAAGAAATTGTGGGACACATACATGATGGAATATTATATGGCCATGAGAAAGGACAAAATCATGGGCTTCTCAGCAAATTGGATGGTGTTGGAGACCATCATACTTAGTGATCTATCACAGAAACAAAGAATCAGATACCACATGTTTTCACTCATAAGTGGGACCTGAACATTAACCACAATAGCACAAAGCAGGGATCAGCAGCTGTGAGCACTGCCAAGGGAGTGGGGAGCATGTAACATCACAAAGGGTACCTGGTCCTAAACCAGGGGAAGTGAGGACGAGCTAAAGGCCCAAACTTCACCCGTAGTAGAATCCTTATGTACCTAATCCTGACTTATATCCCATGTCTGTATAATACAGTGAAAAAAAGTTTTACTCAAGGCATGTTTTAGAGTTGACTATTGGGGGTTAAATTTATCAACTGTATTGTATATGTATTCAATATGTAGATTTCAGAAAAGTTTGTTGAAATTCTGTTAAATTTATTTTTCTGTTGCATTGTTCTGATTTTCTTTACTGGGGATACCAACTATATACATCAGATATTAGAATTTTGTATGCCAATTTTTTTCTCAAATCTTTTTTATTTCTTAATTCCTATTTCATTTTCTTTGTCTTTTTAGTTACTCTCTCCTTCTATCTTTACAATGTTTCCTGAAATATCTATTATCTCTTGTGCACCTTATAATTCAGGTTTCTTTTACATTTTCTTTTTCTAGTTCCATCCTATTTCCTCCCGGCCACCTGTTTTCTGAATTCCTTTATTTCTGGTTTTTTTTTCTTTACTGCAGTTGCTTCCTTAACTACTTTTTCTGGTTCATTTTGAAATGCTATAGCTCATTAAAATGGATACATAATAATTTTGCATAGTTGTGGGGTACATGTGATATTTTGATACATTTATACAATGTGTAATGATGAAATCAGGGTAATTGGAGTATCCATCACCTCAAACATCTATCATTTCTTTGTGTTGAGAACATTCCAAATCTCTTCTTCTAGCTATTTTGAAATATACATTACAGTATTGACAAATATAGTGACCTACTGTGCTATTGAACAATAATTTTTCCATCTAACCATA